CGGGATGTTATTGACGTCAGTGTCTTTAATAGTGAGGTCCAGGAGCTTGACTGGGACCTCCGCCCTCAATGGCAATCTCCTGGTATGCCATGCCCTGTAACTGGCTGTGGGGATGGCAAGATCTACTCACGCTACGCCCTCCTTGCAAGACATTAGAAGGGTCCATGAGCCAACATTCATGGCAGTGGTCTGTCCCCATTGCGTTTTCTGGAATCGGCAAAGGAATCGATTGAGGCACCTTGCCAGCCGGCATAGGCTGACCCCTCTAATTGCCGAGGTCATTTCCTGTATTAATGAAGTTGAGCGGGTCAATGACCTATATGTTGACCCTGGTGACACCTTGATGCCTGTGTGTTATTGAAAAGATCAGTTTTTTAATTATTTCTATGTATTCTATATATTGGTTTAGAGCCAAATGTGGAAATCATTCGTTGAAATTACAGTTTGCACAGATGGAGATGACAGGAGGTGACCCATTGTCACCTCTTTTATTCAACCAAGAAAATGTGACAAGGAACGTATATATATCGGATCCATTCTTCTCTCAGAAAGTGGCGAGTACATATGTTCTATTTTTGTATAAAATACTGTACCCTTGAAAATTATAATAATTTTATAATAACGGTAATTTTTTCTAATTCTTTTTACATGTAATTTTTCATTTTTGTTTTTCTTTTTTCGTCTGTGGTCCAAAATTTAGACTTTGAAACCATACTCTAAAAAGTGATGATTATGGACAGAAAATAATCTTAATTATACCATTTATTTCTTCTAGATGCTAAATATTTAAAGTTAGTAAAGAAAAAAGTCATTACCGTCAGCATAAACTATATTGTATGTATAAATCAAATATCTTTTAGTGAAAATGCTCCGTTACCGCATTAATAAAGTTACGATTACAAATTTCAGCATGATGTGTATCTGTATTACTATCTCTTTCATAGGTGATGTAACATTTGTAAGGAATGTTCCCTTTCTTATCAATCCGGAAGACAACTGGGTAAGATTCCATTTGACATTCTTATATCTTATCAATATTTTCTATCTAGAATTAAAATGTTCACGTTAAGAATCAATCTTTACATATACGAATGATATCTTGAGACCAAAGATTGAAAAAGGACATGCACTTGCGAACACTTAAATTTTAATTGTCTACTTGTTGAAAAATATTCTTTTTAGTCATGTTTATGCAGGTCCAGCTGTTGGTGGCCGCACCACCACTGCTCTGTGATGGCAAAGAGAAGCATCGAAGATATAAACATTAAGTCGGTCGTTGTTTTATGTACCTTCTGCGGGCAGATTGATGAGCCGTGCAAATATATCGACCATTAAGTCCAAGCACAAACACAAAAACACCAACCTTTCATATTTTACAAGCGCAGAAAACAAATTAAAATATGTCGTGGCTGCAAAAACAGGTTCGGCAATGACATGAAACCTCGAAATGATTTTGTCCTCCAACACCGAGAAAATTATGAATTTTTTGATAAGAAGAATAAACAAGAGATCCCAGAGGGATCTTGGCGCCCACCATTTGAGGATCTGTTCTCAGTTCTTTAAGATTTTTTTTTGTTTGGTACAGGTGTTGTAAATGTTCATGAACTGGTCTTCATTGAATGTACTCAATGATGGCACCAGATATTTTTATTAAGCACCTATTAGCAAATATCATTCGAAAAAGATCCCAAAGTATTATTAGATAGCAGTCAGTTACAGGTGGATAATGGACAATATGCTTGTGCTGTATTACTGTCGACATCCAAGATGGCTGCCTGTGGGCCATCTTTATTTCAAATCAGTCCAAAAAAGGTACAATGCACAACTAGGGACCAAGGGAAACCAATATCTATGAAATATCAGAAGGATCCATCCTGGACTTCCTCAGATATAGCAGTAACAAGATTTTACTCTCAAAATCCAAGATGTCTGCCTGTCAGCCATCTTGATTACGGATCAGTCCAAAAAGGTATAATGCACAACTTGGAACCAAAGGGAACCTGCATATGAAATTTGAGAAAGATCCATCCAGTACTTTCCAAGAAATAGCAGTAACAAACTTTTACTTCCAAAATCCAAGATGGCTGCCTGTCGGCCATCTTGAAGAATTGGTACAATACACAACTAGGGACCAAGGGGAACCTGCATATGAAATTTGAGAAAGATCCATCCAGTACTTTTCCAGAAATAGCGGTAACAAGAATTGTTTACGGACGGACGGACCACGGACGCAAGGCGATTTGAATAACCCACCATCTATTTGAATAGATGGTGGGCTAATAAATGAAAGCCGTTAATGGCAATAGATATTACCATGTAAGTGCAAATTGTATAATGCTAACGGTGTCAATATAGATAAAATCCAAAGTTAATCTTTATTTTGAAAACCTTTATAAGAATCTTAATATCTTGCAGTTTCGTGGTTCCTGTAAAAGAAGGTATTTAATCATATCATTCACTTTCCTTTACGTTACATTTTTTTTTTTACCTACATTAATATTTTTGTGTGCAAATGTTTTAAACCATGACTCGATCGACATCAAAAACCATTGTGATTGCCTCATGAGAAAGTATTGATATTGAGGAAAGACAATAAGCCAATAAGTTAACAGTGGTAAAGCATTGTATTTATTTTTTCTTTTACAACTACATGCTTGCACACCGGTCCAGATATTAACTGTTGAAAGACATTCTTTTAAAATAATTTTGTTATTCTCTCCAATCAACATACACATTTAGTTATGACACTTACCTATTCAGCGAGTATAACTTTGTAAACATGATCTGGTTATTTATAAAATAATGTTTACCATTACTGGTTAACACGTTGACTATTCACTGAAATACCATTTTAAGATCGCAACAACGAATTTTCATTTTGTTTTCATCATAACCTTGATGCGCATATCTGTAAGGGATTGTGAGGTGTCATTTACTCATGGCACCGCATCTACATACTAAACATTTGCATTCTTTTTCGGCTCATTTCCGCACTTTTACAGTCAGGATACTTCCGGCAACACGTACACATTGAGCTATATAACGCAATTATATGCACACATACATTATTTGTATTCTACAAATCTACTGGCTAAGTTTGCTTTTTAGTAATTAGGATACCACGGCTCCCGCCGTCCTTCGTACGCCTGTCAACATTTTTTTGGATCAAGTTTGGTCAGTAGCATCCTTTGGGAAAAGTATCAAGCTTTTTTAAACGCGTCCAATGGAGGAAATAGGGCAAATTATCTAAGAAAAATTCTTATGGAAGAATGATTGGATTCTGTCATAATTTGGTGAGAGACATGCGTTTAATCAATTTTACATGAACAATGGGTCCTGGTAGAATTGGGGCCAATTGTGGATATAAAGCAAAATCTTAACATTCCTGCCAGTTTTGGAATGATTCACTTCTGTGCAGAGTTGATCTGATGCATCCTTGAGAGAAGAGAACTTAGTTTTTTCAACCGATGCATCTAACCCTCTTAAGGAGGAAGGTGGTGCCTAATAGGGGAAATGGATACAAGTGTTTTATATACTTTTATTTTTGTTTAATTTGAGCGATTTCGAGGTAGGTTGCTTTTATAAATCAGATCTTGCCAATGTATATAATGTCCCGAGTTTAATAATTCAATTTCAGAATTTGTCAAGTCAATCCTTTTCTTTAAAAAAATAGCTGTTAAAACGCAAGAATATTAGGGTGTTGTTTTTGGTTTTTTAAGCGAACGTCTTTTGTTATTAATGATATTTTTATTTATTTATTTTATGATAATACATAGATATGCATTGCAGTGTAAGCATATTTGCTGGTCTTTTGTGTATACATGTGTATTAGTCTTTTGGTATCTCACGTATGAAGTATATTTCTGTGTTTCCTACAAACTGTGTTACTGACCAATGAGATGAGACATTTTACATGTGCTTCGTCCTTAGAGCATTAGTAGTTTGTGATATCAGTCATTGGCATAGTTGTCTTCATGTATTTAATTCAAATTGTTCTATTCATTGATTCATATTTATTGTTTTAGTTTTATATGTCGGTATTACTTATACCCTTGATAAAGTGCAAATCCGGTATTTATAATAGGCTGTTATTTCCACGGGAGGAATATTCGTCAGTCGTCAAGTCCCCCTTCCAAAGTTACATCGTGACTAATTGTTGACCATGTGTTGGTAGAGCCATGGGGATACTTTGTCAGCCTCTGGTTCAGGTATTATGGATATATACCAGCAGTATCAAAGCAAAAGTAAAAGTTCTATTTACATTTGATACAACACATGAGAAACCCTTTCCTATTTGACCTTAGCTAAGTGTCTGGAGATAATTAAAAGGTGAACGTAAGATTAGGCCTGGAGCAGTGACAGCCCCATTGCCATCAGGTCAAACTCCCTGGCTAAGCCTTTAGCCGTGTCAGTCTGTCGGCTTTGAGAACGCCCCCCCCCCACCTCCTCCGGTGTCAATTAACGATTTAAGATATATAACAAACATCCCAAAACTTTTCCCCAAATATACTTAAGTTTAGTTATTGTTGCTATCCGCCTAATGGACATCTCCTATATATCCTTAGTTATTATTTCTATCTGCCTAAAGGCCATACGCTATATATCCTTGGTTACTGTTCCTATCCGTTTATATACTAACACAGGGTTTTCCCTTTCACAAAATGTTGCGTCATATACGCAGAAAAAATAGAAAATACGCATGAATGAAATAGTTATGCGTCCCGTGTACGCACGATTTAAGGTGGCATTTTACCTGGTAAGTCTGTGTATTTAATCTTTAAATCATTGAAAACGTATAATTGACGGCATCGTTTTGTTTGCCTAGAGTATAGTTTTGAATGGCAAAACTAAGTCACTTTCATCAAACATTACTCTCGATCCGATCCTCGTCAAGAGCCATGGCAAGCTGCAATCGGCAATTTGATTGGTTAACAGTTTGCTCAGTCGACCAATGAGATTGCTTGTTAGAAAGCCGCAGACTAAATATATCCCAGATAAACATGTCGACAAAACAGTCGAGTCAGTTGAAGCTGACGAGTTTTATTGAGGTTTCGTCGCCACGATGTACCGATCAGCCTCAAAATGAATCAGTTTTAGCTGAGAATGAAACAAATACTTCACAAACATCGACTTCCATTGATGAAACTAAACGATCAAGAGTCTTTAACAAGGAATGGCAGCGTACATACCCATGGTTAATTTACGACGAAAATGAAAGTAAGTCCGGCGTTATGAAATGTGACACATGCATTCGAGCGGGGAAAAAATCCAATCCCTTTGTAAATGGATGCACAAACTTTCAAAAAAGCACCATAGTTCGTCACGAGCAATCAGTTGTTCACACTGACGCTCTACGGGCTATTGAACTATCAAAACACTTTAAAAAATCGGCTGATACGGCGAAAGAACGTAGTGAAAAAGTTCATACCGATGTCAAGACTAAAAGACATGTAGTACAGTTGCGAACTGTGTATATTATGGCTAAAAACAATATTGCAGCCAATAATTTTTCCAACCTTATGGAGCTTCAACAATTAAACGAATGCAGGTTTGCAGATGATTACTATACCAAGCCTGAAATTATTAATGAAATGGAAACAGCTATAGCTGCTGAAATTGAGAACTCTTTATTTGATCGTATTAAAGGAAGTCCTTATTATGGTGTGATGTTGGACGAGACCTGTGACATCAGTGTGGAGAAAAAATTGGCTTTGTATATTAATTTTGTGGATCATGGCAAAAAAGTAGTTGCATTTGTTGGCAATCGCAGGGTACAGGACTGCACAGCTGAAGGCATAAAAACTGCACTTCTCAATTTTCTTCATGATAAGGGGCTGGTGGGAGCCGATGAAAACTACACAAAATTCATGGGCCTCGGAACAGATGGAGCAGCTGTCATGGTAGGCTGCAGAAATGGAGTTGCGGTTAAAATTAAAGAACTTAATCACTCTTTAGTGTCCGTACATTGTGTTGCGCATCGACTTAACTTAGCAGCTAGTCAGGCAAGCAAAGGAGTTGAGTATGCAGAAGAATACAAAAGGAGAATCAACATGCTTTACCATTTCTATAGTGATTCCTCTGTTAAATATGATAAGCTCAGAGAACTGCAAGAACTTCTACACGGTCAAGTTTGTCAAGTTCCAGAAGGAACATCAGTTAGGTGGTTGTCTGTAGAAAATGCTGTTAAAATGATTTTTAAGTACTATGACAGTATTGTGATGTCACTTGAGGATGACAAAGACAAAACGGGGGAAGCAAAAGGATTGTGGGGGTTCATTGCCACTTGTCTGTTCATTTTGATGACTGCATTGTTGATTGATGTTTTGTCTGTTGTAGGCACCCTAAGTCTAATATTCCAGAAAGACAGTGTGAATTTGTCTGCCATAAGGAGCAATGTAGACTCTACAGTAGAAACTATCAGAGCAATGTTAAATGGCTCACAGTGTGTTGATGAGGTTCTTGCTGAACTGGGTCCTGCCTTGGATGGGCATTCAAAATACAAAGGGGTGCATGTGCAAGACAATGCTAATCTGCGAACAAGATTTGAAGCTGTTAGAAGGAATTTTTTTAATAATCTAATACAAAACATGGAAAACAGATTTTCAAATCAGGACATTGATATATTGGAATGTTTTGATAGTATTTTCAATCCAAGGCGGTACCCAGTTCAGCCAGACCTCTCAAACTATGCAAATGAGAAACTTGATATTCTGTGTGAACAGTTCAGATCTGAAGTTGATATTGTGAGATGCAGGAGGCAGTTCTTGCAGTTCAAACATTTTTGTCGAAGGTACCGAGTCATAAAAAAACTTTGATGAATTTGTTGAAATGCTGCTTAATGAGTATTCTGACATCTATGTAGATTTTGTGACTCTAGCAAGCATTGCACTAGTTATTCCAGTTTCAAGTGCCCCATGTGAAAGGGGATTTAGTGAGCAAAATATTCTTAAAACCAAAGTCAGAAACAGAATCAATCCAGAGAGGCTTAACAGGCTTCTAATGATCAAACTTGCTGGACCTTCTGTGAAAGATTTTGATTTTCTCTCAGCTGTCAGAATTTTCAACCAAAAATCAAGAAAAAAATAAATTATGTTCAATATTTCAATGCAATGTTTCTGAATTTGTGTGAATGCATTACAAACTGTTGAAAGTGTACGAGTCAGCATTCTTTAATGCTTTTAAGTTTTCATCAACTTACAAGTCCAATGTTTTGTTTGAAATCCCATGGTAGAGTAAGACAGTATTGTTCTGTGTTTAAATAGCTGCATGATCATATAGACGATCAGTGTTGCTATAAAATTACAGACTTTGTATGGTGTTGTTCGGTTGATTCATCATATAATGATATAATCGAAGTCATGTTTCAAGAAAACAAGTCATCTACTGGCATTGGTTTATTTCTTTAAAATCCTGAATTAAACATATTTGAATAAATTTCAAATTGATTCTGAATTTGGTATTATATTTGTTTGTTGACAATATAATTGTACTTACAGCTTTACATGTGGTGTTTAAATTTTGCATAAATACATCAAACCAAACCTTTGTTTTGGGTACTGTTTCTCATATTTTGATTTCCTTGATGAAACATGTTTGGACCCCTAAACGTTGCTGATGGACCCCTGTTTTGAAAAAAGAGGGGTCCATGGACCCCCTTATACAAAATCCAAGGGAAAACCCTGTAACACGAAAAAGAAACGCCGGGTACACTAAATATACTACAAATGATTTATTGCTTGGCCTAGAATAATGACACTCGGTCAGGTTGATGCGTTGTTCGCGGTCACTAGGTACACGTTTTTAAAATCACACAATACCTGACCTCCGCGCTCCGTGCGAGGCACATGCTAAAATACAAGAATCCCGTGCAGGGGAAGGTCATTGAGTTCGCCAATGGAAATTTTCAGTCTATTTGATGCTGTTCAAGTATTCGGATTGATTTTTCAAAGTTTGATTCGAATTCAGCAATTTACATCCATGCCACGATTGACGGAAGTCCAGCGGGGACAGGCTATAGGAATGCTTTTGCAGGGTCAGGGCTACTTCAGGTTGCTGCACACAACCGCAAAGTGGACGTTTGTGCTTCACAACGCCACATCAGGATCGGTTTATAAGACTTTCTCACTTACGTAATCGCCGTCTCAAAGCTACCGAAACTGCAAATAACACTTTAGGCAGTCATAACCGCCATATTCATCCGGATACGGTTCGAAACTGATTACGCGTCAATGGTCGAATAGCCCGACGTCCCTATGTTGGTCTGCCCCTAACTCCTGCGCGTCGCCAACGCCGATGGCTTGGTTACAAGCACACTCTCCCAGAAATTTTCCTATAAGGCAATGGAGACGGTTATTCTTCACCGACGAATACCGGTTCACTCTCTACCGTTCGGACGGGCGACGTCGTGTATATCGTGTATATAGCAATTGTGGGATGAATTGGATAGGAGAGTTAGCAGACGTCCAAAAACCCCAACTAATCTGGTCCATCTCACACGTACCTTGCATGAAGAATGGAATAACATCCCCATTGCAAGGGTTACCACCCTGATGAATTCCATGCATAGAAGAATCAGGGCTGCGACAGCTGCGCATGGAGGACACACAAGATGCTGAAATGTCCGGCCGTGTTGCGCAATACAAGTAGTGTCATCGCTAAAAGGGGGATATTTTTGGCATAATTAGCATGGATAATCGATAGAACCTTCAACAAATGGTTCCAAACAGATGAAATTGTATAAAAAAATTTATGAAATAATGTAACATTAAATTATATCATTTAAAAGAATCTTTTTAGGTTACACGGCGTTTCTTTTTCATTTTAGTATATATTGATTATAAGTACTCCGTGCCATGTATAGCCCTATGCTTACGTAGTGTTTCCCGGATGGATCGTTTCCTTTGTGGATAAACCAACATGAAGACTTTTTCCAGCAGCTAAACCAGTTATCATTTAACCAATTATTTTCTCCTGTACATTTTCCCCAGCCCACGTAGTCGCTATAGTGTCTATCATGGATTTTGTAACCCTATGCAAGGTTATCTGCCCTTGCTTTAGATATTAGGCAGTATTATCTGTTTTGGTTATATTACTGAGTTGATGTTTATAATATTTAATTATTAAGCAGAATTATCTGTTTTAGTTATATGTTCTGACACACAGTCATTGATCTGTGGGGGACATATATTAAGGTCACTTTACTACGCTGTACTGCTGCTGCTGAGGCAGGTGCACAAACTGCGCAATAGTTAATACCTAAAACGCTGACAAATGTTTATGTGACGTAATTTTTGAAAGTCTTTTGTTTACACTGGGAGACCGGACCTTGGCGTGTGTGGCCGAATTGAAGGCTTTGCATTTGTTTTCGACTGTTTTAGCTCCAGAATGTCTGGGATTCAATTCAAAATTACTAATAGTTTGACACCCTTGGTCAACCGGGGTCACCCATCAAATTTGACAGTCACGTAGGCATTAGACATAAATAGGAGGGGACAAGATCGTCCCTCACTTCGGTCACTAGACAGCGTATTGGACGGACTGGTGTCACGAGGCCTGGGACCAGGGCGGGTACGGGAGCGAGAGAGTTTTGTAAGCTTACCGGAAATAAAAGGCGCTTTTCTTCACCTTTGGTAGTCCTTCAATTGTGTCTCTCGAATGTTTCGAGAGGGTTACAATTTGCCACTTTTGATAATGGAACATTCTTACATTCGGAGGCTGAGTGACTTCACCTCGAATGATCAAAATGATGCGGAAAATTTAGGTCTGGTTAGAGAACAAATCCAGGTTTTGTTTCACGATATCAGTGGGGGATCGTACGTCCAGGACCCAAGTCTCTGTTGAACGATTTAACTGTTTTAAGACGTGTTCAACCGAGGATTGTGTTACTTCAATGTGGGGGAAATAACTTATCTAGACATCATTGTGGTTTACACGAACTCGCCCTTGATTTAAATAACTTACTTGTTTCGAGCGCAACCTCCGTGCAGCGTGTTATTACACAGCTCATTCCTAGATTTGCTGGTGATCGTGTTTACAATGAAAATGATCAATTGCACATTTTGCTCGAGGCCATAGTGAAGATCATGGCTTGCTTTCATTTTGGCACCACAGTTGTTTCTGGGCAAACCCCACACCCTTTGTACCTGTCCAACAAAGTGCATCGTAATCTGGCGGGGATAAGGAAGTATTATCGCAGCATGAAATCTGTCATAATTTTCTATTCTCGCCGGTTATAGACAGACATTTCAGTTCCCCGTCCTTGTCCCATCTAGTCCAATTCAGAGGGAGTAACTCTTTATATTTTTATGCGTCTTTTATGGTTATGTATAGCATTGCATCTACAATGTATATAGGCTATATACTGCTGTATGTTACCATATTATCATACCCCTTATACCCTTAACTATTTGAGTCTAGAATTATGTAGACTATGATGCTCGCAAGTAAAGTTATCCCTAAGTTACATGATATGGGCCTATATGTGAAAACTAGGCTTAATGTTTTATGCATCATTTCAATGCCTGTCACAAAGCTATAGGCCTATGCATGACTTCATTTTTCTTTCCCTTAAAGTTTTGTTATCGAGTATGACCTACCCTCATCCCATGTGTTTCAAACGAATATTTTCATTATTATTGATTTATTCTCAGGCATATTGGCTGTGTTGAGTATGATGGGCTCTCAGATAACTTTATAAGCCTTATTATTATGGAGAATTTACCTTTCACTGTTGTTGTGGAACATGCACATTCGATTTAGTCTATGCTCTATTGTGATTTTCCTTACTCATTACTCAAGTGTTATCACACATTGATATGTATTGTTATACTGCATTCCGATATGTCTCGTTTACTTGCGTGGTATCCCAACTAACAATGACCATCTCAGTCTACTTCATTATTACATATTACTTTCAGGTTATTTATCATCATGCCTCCAAAAGAGAAAAAGAAAACACCATCTTATGCAAACCAGCTGCCTCCTAAGAGACGGAAGCGTGGTAAAGTTAAGTCTCCACCTTCTCTTCCGGCTGCTGCAGCCGTTGGCAGTGGTAATGACTCCATCATGCCCACTACTTTGAATCCGGGCATGCCCCAAAACAGTGTGGATCAGGTTATGCAAAAGACCACAAGTACGGTGTCGACGGCAATGGCGAATGCAATGCGGTCATTCAGATTGGCCCCACCCACAACCTCCACCGCAACCGTTGAGCACCCTGAGACAGGACCACCTATCCTGGGATCACCAATTGATCCCATCACTCCAACTGTACATGATCAGGATGAAACTCGGCCTGTGCCTTCCCATCTTCCCAGGACTTTGGACAGACACCGCGAGATAAATGTCCTAAATGCCACCAGTGCTGTGTTAGGTAATAACCGTCCTTACAATGATGATTTGCTCACACAGAGTCAGCCTCTTGGGTAAAATGTTTGACAAAGTTAGGAACAAGATTTTCGGATATGAATTAGAGGAATTCTCAACATTAGTTTTTTCCAATTGATGAGAATGATACACAATTCAACATTACAATGCAAGGGGAGGGGGCCTTGGCCTGACTGCTCATTCTAAAACCAAAAAGATCAATCATATTGGTCTCTGGACACAAGCCTTCGATATATTTGTGGCTATCTATTCCATTGAATATCCCCACGATATACAGGGCCTTTTGTAATATGTTCATAATATACGCCTATTAAGCAGTACATACGGTTTTCCAGCTGCGGCATATTATGATGAAAGTTTCAGAAGACTGAGGCGTATACAGCCTATCCAGTGGGATACTGTTCATACCGAGTTATGGCGTTTCTGAGAG